TTTCCATTGCATAATGCCTAATACTACAGTTTTACAGCGTTGCTTTCATTATCGTTTATAACTGTTCCCAATTTAAACATTTTATCGTCCTGCCAATTTTTGTATTTCATTCACCGTAGTAATTTTATTACTCAACATTTATTTTTCCAACCTTTCCTAAAGTTATTCGAGTTTAGTGATCCCTGTAGTTTTACAACGTTTTCTTCTGGTATTTGCCTACGCATTCCATTTGACATTTGAGATTTGTTTTGAAGTATATACGATAATGCATTTCACCATTTAAGGCTTCATCAGATACAAAAAAAATGAAATCCGTTTATCTGTATTAGTTGAACAGACACGGATTTTATTTCTTTTGTTTTCGGGGTTAATGAGGTCTTAAATGGCGAAATGTTTTCTTGGATATATTTCGAAACAAATCTACTTTTATGACGTTTTCCAAATTGTTGACAATTGGAAAACGTTCGTGAAAAACGTCCATGCTCAGTTGGGAAAACAGTAAACCTGAGAAAAAACAATTTTCACCTGTTCTCTTTCAAGATGACTCATTCATTGTTTTCTTTGTTTCTCAGGACAAATGGTGTCTAGAGGGTTAATAGGAGAATCGTGATGAAAAGAAAATGATATGCTCATCATTAATTAATCATAGCTAAGGAAGCTCATGAATGATTGAAATAAATTTCATATATATATATAATTCTCAAAATGTGTGTGTATATGTGTGTGTGTGTGATCGGATGTTGTTTATGCGTTTCTACACTTTTCGTCTGATTTCGATGAATTTTTTTTTTTTTTTTTTTTTGATAGATAATTCTTCAATGCCTGTTTTGATTCTAAATTACACATTCTTCTTCTCTTGGGCAAGATGTCAATCTCTCTGAAGTAAGGTTACCTTTTCCATTGCATAAGGTCTACTACTACAGTTTTAAGGCGTTACTTCCATTGTCGTTTAAAGCCATTCCCAATTTATTTTTTTTATTGTCCTGTCAGTTTTTGCATTGCATTCACCGCAGTAATAAAAAAGCTTGCTTTTTTATTAATCAAAATTTATTTTTCCAACCTTTCCTAAAGTTATTCGAGTTTAGTGATTCCTGTAACTTTAGAGCGTTTTCTTCTGGTATTTTCCCACGCATTCCATTTGGCAATTCATACTTGCCTAAGACATGCCACCAAAGAAAAGAACTTGCCTAGGTCACAAAAACCGCTGCCGCCAGGCCCTCATGCAAATAAGAGACAACAAATCGTCTTTAGAATGTTCAGTTCGCCCGTCTCAAAATGCCGTCTCGGAATTCTTCAATCAGAGCCACGGAGTCCGAAGATCAACATAGCCATTGGCTATACGTTCTGCGCGCGTAGCTGAAAATAATTATCAAAGAACTCAACGGCTGGGGAGAAGCGCTTCTTCAACTACTGCCACGCGTGAGGCTGAAACAAGATTGAGGAGGCAAATCGGCCATTTCAGGATCACCCCCATTCAAATTGTTTTAGAACCCCCCCCCCATTTGGGGACGTGCGTCAGTTGCACCCAATTGTTGTTGCTAATATTGATTTTCGGGTGGGCTGACTTTAAATTGCTCCAACTGAACCGCAAAAATAAATTGGCAGTGACCAAAGACCCGGTTGAACGGAGGTTATACTGCTAGTGATATATATATATATATATATATATATATATATATATATATATATATATATATATATATATATTTAGGCAGCAATCTTTCGTTTATGCATGTTTCATTAAAAACGCCAGACAAGGTAATAGGGTTAAGTTTTTTATTTAATTTTATTGTATTCGAACAACAGCTTTCTTTTTTGGACAAAGAGTTTGTAAAACTGTCCAAATGTTTTATAGTTCCGAGCGATTTCGGCTATACTTTTAACCATTATCAAGGATGACTCGATTTTTCAGCTTAATTGAGTGTGTGCATTATGCGTATGTTTTAGTGTGTTGTAGGGATGTTTTAATTTCCGAATACGGTTAGCACATTGTGGCCTTGTTCGTAATTAGTATTATGAAGAGTTGGCTTTTTATTTTTTATTATTCAAGCTTCCATTATTTTTAATCTTTTTTTACAGGTGGATGCAGTTATTATATTTGTGTTTTCTACTAGTATATATATATATATATATATATATATATATATATATATATATATATATATACTACTAGTATAGCCCGGCGTTGCCCGGGGATATAACAGTAAGAGATAGATCAAGTATCGACCATCATAAAGACTGAAAAATTAAACTGACAAAATTATTGTTTAATGTTGACGGACACGCATGTCTTTTTTTTACGAATTGGTCAAACCCAAACTCAAACAAAAACATTGTTTTCAATTGTTATGAGTCTACCGATTGAATACACTTTTATTATAAACAATTGTCTTATAAACGGAATTTTTAAAGCATTCTGAATGTAAAAAAAGAAAAAAGTGTGCAAGACAATAAGAAACACTACCTGCCAAAAAAAAGGTGAAGTTTTGTTGAAATCGGTTGAAAAATGTAGGAAATCCGATCCCATATATAAATGAACACACACACAACCAACCTGGGTTTTTAAGTATAATTCGATATGAGTTGTCCCCCTTTCATTCTCACGATGCCTCTTAATCGTGTTTTCAAATTGATTTCGTTCAAAAACAATTGTGTTTTTCCAATTTTTGGCGGTCAGAACCACCGCAAGGTAATTTTACGTAGTCCTGTGAAGTTTTGTTGAAATCGGTTGAAATATGTAGGAAATCCGATCTAATATATAAACGTACAGACACACAAACACACACACACACAATCTGCGTTTTATAATAAGTAAGTTACTAGTAGTATACTAGTATGTATAAAATATATATATATATATATATATATATATATATATATATATATATATATACTAGTAGTATACTAGTATATATAAATTACACAGCGAAAAAACACAAATTACCTTATGTGGGCAAAATTTATTTAAACCAAAACTAAGTACGTTGGTCTTATTCAATCCCGGGGAATGGACTGTCCATTCAAAGTAACTCCTACTGCTGCTCTTGAAATAGCAAGCGACCAATCAGAAATGCCCTACGTCACTTCCTTCTCAGCCAAAACGAGACAAAAAGAGAATAAAGTGAATGCTCGTCTTTTCCCTTTTAGGTCCAACACGCGGAAAACCCCACACTCTCAACGAACACGGCTTGACATAACAGGTAAGTAATTTCTACTTGTTGCCAGGAAATATTTTTTTTTTATCTCCTATGAAACGATGCTTCACTATTTACACACACACACACACACATATATATATATATATATATATATATATATATATATATATATATATATATATATATATATATATATATATATATATATATATATATATATATATATATATATTTGGTTGATAGATGTGAGTTTGTGACCCTGGGTTTCACGCTTTAGCGATCGCAGACAAATAAGTACTGCGCATATAATATATAAATGATTATACATATATATATTTATTTATATTTATATACACTTTTCACACACACACACACACAAACACACACACACACACACACACATATATATATATATATATATATGTATGTATATAAATAAAAAGAAAAAACAGTAAGATATATAATCCAGTGTTCTTATAGATATTTTTATTTTTACAAAATAGTGCTCAATGTAAATTTACAGAGCATTAATATTATAAATTAATTGATTTAAAATATTTTTTTCGTTACACTGTTCTAACCATGTTTCAAAAATTTTTTGAAACATGGTTAGAACTGTGTAAGAAAAAACATATTTTAAAATCAATTAATATATATATATATATATATATATATATATATATATATATATATATATATATACATATATATATATATATATATATATATAAGCTTTTATTCTTTAATGACAATAAGACGAAATTCTCATCTGACAAAAAAAAATTGACAAATGTGGATGACCTTTGTACGGATGACGTTTATGTTTTTAACCTTTAAAGCAATATATCTTTATTTTTAGATCACCTTAAAATAAGCGAAATGAAAACCTGACATTGTTTGGAAAAAAAACGAAAAAAAAAGAAACAATCAATTTTTTTTCTTACTCAATTTTGAAAGTGCTTGTTTGTTTTATTTTAGCTTCATTTTTTTTTGTGGGGGTGGGGGAGTACAGTATGATGAATTTCCATTTCAAACTTTTTTCTACAAGCAATTTAAGCTTATCCAAGAAAATATTATTTATTTGCAAAAGGTAATAAAAATTTAAAATAAATGTCAAAATTTATTCTTCATTAACTAACGGCCGGTCTCCAATACTGAGCACTTTTCCATTATGAATATACCAGATTTTAAGCACACACACACACACACACACACACACACACACACACACACACACACACACACACACACACACATATATATATATATATATATATATATATATATATATATATATATATATATATATACTCAATTCTGGAAGAACTAAATGATAACACACATTTAACACAGACACAACCCCTTCCCAAGAATCAATAAAACTGTCAAAATGGCCAAGAGAATTCAGCCTCTATCTTAAATATCAACTTAAAAAGACAAAATTTACGAAAAAATAAATAAATAAATAAATAAAATAAGAAATAAATGAAAACTACGGATAAAGTTCATTTACTTCATCAAGTCATTCATTCCTGTAGTTTACTGCTACTAACAAGCAGAATTTTTTTTCCTGATGATGGCCATGCTGGCCGAAACTAGTCGAGGAATCTAATTGAAGTAATAAAACAAAAAATATGAATATACAACCCATTCACATATCAGAAGAATATCTGCAGTTGGTTATCGTTACTTTTCAACGCTACAGGACCCTGATATTTAACCCATATTTGGGGGAATAGATGGATTAATACTTTTCCCAGGGGTATTAGCAAAGAATTCGAGCTCGGCCTTCCCATTTCTCATTCCAGGTCATTATCCATCACACCACCCACACATCCATGTTTACAGCAACTAATATCCCCAGGTTGTCACACATCTCGGTACTGACCAGACTCAAAGTTGCTTAACTCCAGTGATCGGAGGAGAATCGGTATTTCATATTTCACAAATGTTTATGTTCATGCGTATGTTGGCGTGAGAAAAAGCATTTTAATGCCTGCAAAAAGAAACTGCTCTCCTTTACCCACCACAGAGAACCTTTCCTGCCTCCCATCAGGATGGCTGATGCCCAACTCCTTGAGAGTGCCTCATTACGCCTGCTTGGTCCCACACTGTCCACTGACATGATGTGGAATAAATACATTGAATCAATAGCTTCATCTACCAATAGGAAAGTTGGTTCTCTGTATCGTGCCAGTTTTTCTCCTTTGAGTCCATCTTTCAAATCTATAAATCAACCATCCATCCTTGCATTGAATATTGCTGTCATATATGGTCTGGTTTTCCCACAGTAGGTCTCGATGTCCTCGACAAAAATCCAGAGACGAATATGTAATATGAAAGGTCCTAATCTGGCATCTATTTAACAATCGCTATCCCACAGACGTACAGATTACGTACTGCGCTGTATTCTATATTCATAGACTATGGTGAACATGGTCAACAAAAACTGCCAGCACTATACAACCACTTTCTAAGATCAATGGGTAAAATGGATTTAAACAAGTGCCTTGGTAAATACCGCCCTTTAAACATTGTGGACTGGTTCTACAGAATCACAAACAAAAATTGTTCCAAATACGAGAAAGCACATAACGTGAGGACTACCAACAGCAGTAACAATTAAAATGGATAGCACATTTTATAGTAAATGTGGCATCGTTGACAAAACTAACCTGGTTGATGATCTCGAAAAGGGCCTCTTATCTGTGGTTGACTGGGGCTGGAAATGGCTTGTAATGCCTCCAAAACGAAACTGCTCTCCTTTACCCACCACAGAGAACCCTCCCTGCCTCCCATCAGAATGGCTGATGCCCAACCCCTCGAGAGCGCCTCGTTATGTCTGCTTGGTCTCACACTGTTCACTGACATGAGGTGAAATAAATACATTGAATCAATTGCTTCATCTACCGCAAGGAAAGTTGGTTCTCTGTGTCGTGCCAGAAAGTTTTTCTCGTCTGAGACCATCCTTCAAATCTAGAAATCAACCATCCGTCCTTGCATGGAATATATGGTCTAGTGCTCCCGCTGTATGTCTCGAGCTCCTTGATAAAATCCAGAGACGAACATACAATATCTGTGAGATAACGATTGTAGACTAGATGCCAGATACTTGCGGACATCATTGTAGACATACCACGTGTTAATTTTGGACCATTTAAAAAATAACAATAATAACACCCTTCACCATACCCGCAAATCCGAGAAAAAAATTATCGCGAGCGAGTGTGAAGTTATTTTCGAACCAATGAAAACCGTATATTGACAAAGTCCACACCTTTATGTAAAAGTAGATTTTGAATCCCTTTACGGATACAAAAAAAAATCGAAAAATACTGCTCCTCGGGGCTCACAACAATTGCGGAGGTCACTTTGATCTACACGTGCGTATACACGTACACACTCAACGATATGCACACAATCAATGGAAGAGAGACAGTCAGCAGCCACCGACTAAGACTTGTCCACGTATACAATAACATGGATTAACCAGCAACCGCGTACTGTCTTTGCGGTATGTACTCACAAACACATTAGGCTATCCGTCATAAAGTGCCCACATATTTCACACCAAACTACGAACACTTAACACTTTCACTGCTACTTATTTGCCCAGTGCTGCCCCCATCCGGCCAGCCATTTTAAAAGAAAATGCCAAATTTCAACCTACATATTTTATTACACAGAAAACTGGCACCAGTGTGTTTTACAGCCTTCCATTTTCATGGATATACCTGGGAATGACTTACCAGATTAGTAATGGGTATACACATGATATCTTTTGAAACATTGTCCTTTGTGATTTTACGATAGATGGCGCAACAGGACACTCATACCAGTGGTATGCAAAAACACGTAGGTTTCCGTACTTAGCCAACTGGAGCAAGATAAAGAAAAACGAAGATCTCCGTTGTTAGCAGCGGAAGTGTTAATTACTTGATAAAACAAATTTAGCTGCGAGGAAAATTCAATATTCTATTTCTATTGTATATTTCTGAAAAGAATGTGTAAATGTTATTACAACTGAGATTGGGCTTCTACTTTTCCTTCAGTGAATAATCCTTTTTTTTTTTTAGGTTTCATTTAAAAGATATGTTGCTGTTGTTATTAAATGTTTAGAAACCCGACACTCAGATGACAAAAAAAAAACCGGGTAGACGGATCCCAACAATATCGTCAAGATGGTATCAGGAGTTATTGTTTTTATGTTTTGTTTTTTAAGATTTTTTTGTTTTGTTTTTTTGTTTTTTTTCGGGGGGTGGGGAGAAGGAGGGGATCAGATTTTATACATCCAAGGTTTTTCAAACTGTGGGTCCCGACCTTTCAGGGGGTCGCGAGATAAATAAAATGGGTCGAGACAAAAAAAAAACAAAGAAAAAATACGCAAATGAAAGCAAAGTACAGAATATAAACAACTTTAAAGGTTGCACAACACTCATAAATCATCGATTGTTTTTCACCAAAGTAAGCTCGTGTCATATTTTTTAAATATATATATATATATATATATATATATATATATATAAAGAAAGAACAGTAAGATATATAATCCCGTGTTCTTATAGATATTTTTATTTTTACAAAATAGTGCTCAATGTAAATTTACAGAGCATTAATATTATAACTTAATATTATAAATTCGCTTGAAGATGAAATGGAACTAATGTCTTTAATTTAATTACAAAATTAAATTCGGAGCTTTTAGCTTCCATTTTTGAAACACGGTTAGAACTGTGTAGCGAAAAAATATTTTAAATCAATTAATTTATAATATATATATATTTGGTTGGATTGATGTGAGTTTGTGACCCTGTGTTTCAGGCTTCTGCGATCGTCAGCGCAAAAGCGTGAAACCCAGGGTCACAAACTCACATCAATCCAACCAAATATGTTAGCTCTATCTCCGATATTGAGCGCTTTCTAATAAGTACCGCGCATATAATATATAAATAATATATATATATATATATATATGAATAGACAAATAACTGATTATTCTAATGTATATACAAAAGTATACTTACACACAGGTGAACGTACGTACACGCACATACACATACGTATATATATATATATATATATATATATATATATATATATACATTATTCGGATTATTGTCCTCATCTTTGTCGCCATATTTAATACAACGTTTTGACCGTTGTACGCTCCGGTCTTCTTCAGGTGATGTCGAACTGGAGTAGACTGTTCTAGTTCTACGTGCCATGTTTGATTGATGTCACTTATCAGTTATCTCCTGACCCAAAGAGTGTGAGTTCAATACGCGGTTAAGACAGTGGAGAACATGGAGAGGGGAATTAACAAGAGATAACTGATAACTGACGTCCATTATATATATATATATATATATATATATATAGAGAGAGAGAGAGAGAGAGAGAGAGAAAGAGAGAGAGAGAGAGAGAGAAAGAGAGAAAGAGAGAGAGAGAGAAACTGTTCTTATTGCGTTTATACATCTTGTTCGTTAAACTCGTTGCGCACTGAGCGACGTCAATTCTTTCTCACACTGAGACCTCGCGCCAAAACTTAGCTACGAAGCTTTGCGCTGCGTTCGTCGTCGTGGGCGACGAAAGACGTTAAGATTGTTGAATAATTCAGTTGCATTTAGAGTTAAAAGTGAAATTTCCCGACTCAATATCGAAGTCAAGTACTGGTGCATTCTTTGAGTGGTAGTAAGACGATGTGTTTGTGTTCAGTTGAAGACTTCGAATTTTCGGTGAGTTAACTGTTATATCGGCGAAATTTAAAAACGGAATAGTTTTATTTATTTATTTATTATTTAACTTGTACCTGTACATGTAACTATGGTAAATATATCTGTTAAAATGATATGCCATTGTTATTCATTTTTGCGTAATTTAAACGACAATTTATCCATCGCACGATATATATATATATATATATATATATATAAAGAAAGAACAGTAAGATATATAATCCGGTGTTCTTACAGGTATTTTTATTTTCACAAAATAACTGATACATTAAAATATAGACATATTGAACACCTAGACACCACTGTCTAGAAAATAGATTTATCTGTAACCTTGGAAACATGAATTTTGTTTTAGCTGTGTATTTGAAACGCAGTGATTTTAAAAGTTACTCCAAAATTCGCTTGAGGATGAAATGGAACTAATGTCTTTAATTTAATTACAAAATTAAATTCGGGGCTTTTAGTTTCCATTTTTGAAACATGGTTAGAACTGTGGAGCAGAAAAAACATTTTAAATCAATTAATTTATAATATATATATATATTAAGAAATGGACAAAGTCCGACAATTTATTTATTAAAGACATTTTTATGTTTAACGTTCTTTTTATAGATACAAGTATTTAAGTAAATGCTCTGTTTATAATAAACAGTATTAAATAACATTTACCGGCCTGAATGTCCGAGAAATTTTCATAGAAAATATGCGTCCTTTGATAGGATTCGAACCTGCATCCTATACGGAACCGTGATTTATGCTGACGTGCCTTGACCGACTCGGCCACAAAGGAGCGTTCGGTAGGCAAGGTCGAATTTATATATATTATATTACGGCAAAAACTGATATTACGTCAGCATGATTACAGTCTATTTCGGGCTGGTCTGAACCCACATATATGCTCTGTTATAATAAAGACATTGAGCTCTCTGGATCTGTTTTAATATTTGATTTTACTAGGATCCCCCTGGATTATATACCAACGAACCTATTTCCTGTTATATATATATATATATATATATATATATATATATATATATATATATATATATATATAAAGAGAGAGAGAGATTGTAAACGGTGATTGTTGAATTCAATTGTATCTGAAGTCAGGATAAAAGTGAATTTCAAGACTCAATCTCGATGTCAAATAGCGGTAAATTCTTTGTGTGGTATAAGATGATGTGTTGTGTTCATTTGAAGTC